ATGGGCCTTCGTATCTGCTCTGGCCATGGCCCGGCCTCCATCCCCACTGTGGCATTAATGCAGAACAAATTGAGACATATCCTCTATATAATTAGTTCCAGAATTTAAAAAGATTTACGGTACCATAATAGAGGCAGCGCTGCGGAATCCTTTCATTGGGGACTCTCTCGGAGCTCGGGGACCATCTCGCGGTGGCATCAAAACAAACGGGTAACCCTGACGGCTCAAGGCACTGAGAACTGGGGAAAGGGGTAACTCTGCTCCACGCACCTGGCAATGTGCACGGGTCCTGGGCCTCCAAACCCGGTGAAAAAACTGAGTTTTAACTGTAGATGGGGAATTGGCAAAAAAAAAATATCGAGTTAACTTTCAAATGAACAGAGGAAGCTGGGGGTGGACTACAACAAAAGTCTTTATCTTACTTTCAAAAAAATTTTTTTTAAATATAATGAAGCTGGGATTTCTACCGCCTGCACGGGGTGAGGGGGTGGAAACAAGCGGCCCCGGGCAGGCAGATTGCTAAGAGTTGGAGTCTGCGGGGAGGGGAGGAATAGCAGTCAAGCGCGTGGAGCTCGGGCACGGGCCCCTGCGCTAATCCAGCGCTGGTTCCTCCCTTGAGGCACGCGCCCCACCACTCCTTTTCGTTGTCTGCGGCCCCGGGCATCCGCCGGCGGCCCCAGCCCTTGACAGATCGCAGCGCTTCGGTGTGTTTATTCAGTTGTCGGCGGCCGCGGGGTGATGCCCGGAGCGCAGCTCAGGAATACGCGCTGGTCCCTGGGGCCGCGCTGCAGGGCCAGGGTGGGCGCTTGGTCAGATGCAGTTGACAGCACCGGGGTCAAAGTGGGGCATTTAAAGGACCTCCTCACACTCAGCCTCGATTTTTTTTGCTCTTTCAATAATTAAGTCCCTTCTAGGCCAGGATGAGCTTTACCAATGATACAAAGCCATGTGGGTTTCCAGACCCTCTCTCCCCCTCCTCTTCTTTACTCCCCATTGCATTAGCTCTAAAGAGGCAGAGGGGTGGTGGCGACTTAAACCTAGAGAAAGACGTGGGTTTCAGCTCGGTTTTGCCTCTAATTTGTTGTGTACTTTAGCAATAATAGTAACAAAATTTGTAATGTTTATTGAGGCCATAGGCCAACACTATCTTCTGTCTAATCCTCAGGATCCCCTTAGGTGGGTACTAGTATCCCATTATTCCATGTGACCAGTAAGGAAACAGGCTCAGAGAGGCTACGAAATTCGTCTATGGTTGCACAGCCGCTGGTTACCTGGTGAAGCTGAGACTTCTTTCTCTGGCCACCAATCCCTTGCTTTTAACCATTGCACTCTACAGCTGCCCTTCCTTGCTCTGCCTGGGCCTCAGTTTCCTTTTCTATAGAATGGAGAGTTGAATTTCCAGTTCTGCCAGTCAGTGACTCAGACCACATCCTTTGCCACAGGTCTCATTACTATCCGAGGGTAGGAAGGTGGATGAGAGAAGGGAGCGGCCAGGTCTCCGCGGTCCTGCTTCCGGGGACCAGTTTTCGAGCCGCAGGAGGTGCAGCAGAGCGCCCTGCCTGCTGGGGCGGGTGGAGGGTGGACCTTCTTCACGACTGTCTGCCCCTTGGCCCATCGCTGGGCGCCGAGGCCAGCATAGCGGGCGCGTCTGCCGGGGTAGCCGCACAGCTCCCGCAGTGAACGTTATCTCGGGGAGGAAGAAGTGAGGAGCCTAGGGCCCCCAATTAGCGCAGTAGTTTGCGGGTTCCCCAGTGTTGGCCCCGGGGCGTCTGCGCTCCCGGGCATGGGGATGGGCGGCGGTGGGTGGCATTCAGGAACCTCTTCTTGGGATGAGGCCCTCTAACTGCCGGGGCTTCGGGCACGCAGCACTTACTTCTTGGCCCCGCGGGTCATAGGGAACTCCTCCCACCGCTTCCGACTACAAGTTCGTGGCGAGGGGGTACCCAGGGTTGAAATGGGGATCGCACCACTGTTCTGTCTCCCTCAAGGATTCGAAGGCAAAGAACGGCGGACGAGAGAGAAGTCCTTAATTTGCTCGGCTCTCCTTTCCCCTCACCCCACTCCGCCCCCAGACAAAAACTTTTTTTTAAGGCAGAAGGTTAAGCGCCCTTGCCCCATCTGGGATTCAAAACCACAAAAGCTCACAATCAAGCCACCTGTCTCCAAGTACCGCCCAAAAAATTTACAGAGGAGGATAAAAAAGGAACCTCGGCCTTTTTCTTTTAGAAATGGAAATTTCTGGCTTTTCATAAAGTGCTCGCCTTTCCTCGTAGCGCTTGAGTGAGTTCTACTTAAGAAAAAACGACATCGAAGAAGAAATGAAGTGGAAGGTATGAGACGGGCCTAGGGCATTCTAGGGGCAACTTGGCCTGAGAAGTTAAATCTCGCAGGACCTTTCTCCATCAGAAAGACACAACGCGTATGCCCTCTGCCCAGCCCTGTAGCCCCGCTGCAGGTTTAGAGATGGAGCGTGCGGGAGCGGAGTGGGAGGCCCACAGAGGGTGTAGAGGGAGAAGGAGCTGGCCTCGAGATCCTTTTCATTTCTTAAAAGAAAGAAAGAAAGAACGAATGAACGAAAGAAAAAGTGTCTAAGTGGAGACTTAGCAAAGTCAGGCACCAAAGTAGTGCCCATCACCGCGAAAGAGGTCCGACAATCAAACGGGTAGCGCATGTTCCCGACCTTTGCCCTCATCATCTCCTGTGACTCCAGGAAGAGCGACCCCAAGAGGAGGGAACTGCACATAGCGTATAGGTCCTGAGCCCGCACATGCTTCGGGTCCGTAGCCGGAACTCATGGCTACCGTTTACTCACTGCAAATTAACTAAAACCAAAGCGTCAGAAATCGAGAGTAAGTCAAAGCTTTTAAAACGCTCGGCTTTTTTGTAAAACTGCCACTACCTTGATGGTTGCTTCACATGGGCTTCGCTGAAAAGTTCTGGGCCCCATCCCCAGCCAGACTCGAGTAAGAGGCCTGGCAGCCAAGAGCCGCTTCCCACCCCGCGCTCCTGGCGGTCCCAGTCTGCGCCGTCGCCGCTGTCTCCTGGGCGTTTCCACGCGCCCAGAAACGCACTCCAATCCAGGTTCCTGGCGTTTCTCCTTGCCTAAGGTCTGTTACCGATAGAAAACAAAACCTCAAACACCTGCTCTAGGGCTTGGGGTTCCCAAATAATGACAAGGTGGAGGGAGGAATCTGATTTGGCGATGCCAGACTCTGGGAGTTCCAAACGGTGCGAACTCTGCCTTGCATGGGCCACTGGAGGCTCTCCTTTTCGGTCCGTCTAACCAGGATTGCGCCTCCCGGTCAGTCACTGAGCGTCCAGAATGACACTCCTGACTGGAGTGAGAGGAGGCAGAGCTAAGCGGAAGCGGCTCCAGGAGCCAACACTCGCCCCGCGAACTTCGTATCCAAACCGTCCCCACCCCCTACTCTTCAAACTCGGCGCCAGAATTCTCCGACCAGAATCTGGGCGTTTCCCTGAAGGTTTTCTTCCCTCCCAAACTAGCCGCTGTTTTCCCGGCTTCACCGTATAAGAACTGAATACTTCTCACTAGAAAAGGACATTAAGAACGCCTGACACCGATTTTAGGAGGCGACAGTCGCCCTTCTCTTGGCGCAAACCTCACCATGTAACCAACTACCAGACGATGGAAATACGCCCCGTTTATCACAACTGATGCACCCTCCAGGTCTCCCACGTTCGCCTTGAGTCTGGCCTCCGGAATCCACAAGGAGACACCCCGTTCCCCAGTGACCCCGAGATTATGGCCACCATTCCAGCCCGACGGCTTTAAAAGCAAGAGCCAGACTGGCAAGCGCAAAGAAAGGGAATCCTCCTCTTTTAAGTCCGGGAAACTTCTCTGCGCCTTCGTGAAGTTCCCGCCCTCGTGGAACCCTCTGTCCCTCCCTCCAACCCGCCCTCCTCGATTAACAACCCCATCCCTTCCCCCCACCACACGAGGAAACGGAGGGGATATTCATTGCTTACCTGGAGAGTCTGGCTAGTGCCCTGAGGCGTCCACACTCCTGAAGGCCGAAAAGGGG